CCTTTCTTTTCAAAATATGGAAGTAACAGGCACTGGAGTCTTCGACCCGCTGTCGATTTTTTTTTTAATTTTATGGAAGCTGCTCGTCGAACGAATCGCTGAAAATAACCTCGGAGATCAACGTATTAAAGCAGGATTAACTAAAAAATTATTAGCATTCGAATACATCGGTCTTTATCCTGTTTTCGGCTGAACATCACCGTCCACGAACGGCAGCGCATATTTTTCCGTTGTACAAAAGTCTCGCCGATAAATCACAGCGAATCACGAGGAGATCGATAAAACTGTCGCTGTTAATTTTGATTTATTCCTGCGGCGTGTTACCATCAATAACAGATTTACGAGATCTTTCGGTAGAACCAGTTCTGTGTTCTCCTAGTTAATCCTTCTTATTAGGAGAGATTATAAGCATTGGAGTTATGGTCGTATGAAAATTAGACCATATTTATGGGGTTTTTTTCATTTTACAGACTTAAGCAACAATATATCGAATATTTTTAGAATTTCTACATATTCTTCATTAAAATACGCGTCGTTTGCACTTCGAAACATTAAAATCCTCCAATACGTTCAGGAGTTATGATTTTTTAAACATACACATACAATTTCAGGGTCAGACATTGTATTTTCGGTAAAGAATGTTTTTCTCGAAAGTGCATAGGATTTCCAGGACATGTTTATTCACCAAAAATGATTATAATTGACCCCCACAGCTAAAAATAATTTTTTTAGAACGATTCGAAATTTTGTTAATTTTGCCAAAAATATCAGCTCCTACCCCCTATTGATTTTTCTTAGAAATTCGTTCTTGATTCTTAATAAATTTCTCTCACGCTTTATATTCACTTTGAAGCTTCGTATGACAGTCAGATTGAGCCACGAAAGTTCATAAGGCGTAAGATTTATTCGTATACCTCGTCTGTGCTATCGTCGAACTTTCAAATTAGGGTGACCGATTAAAAACATCCCTTTCCAGCGCACCAATGGGGTTTTCGTCCATTCGAGGATCCTCTTGCAACGTGCCCAATTAGCGAGACCACAAGAGACCCACTTCTCTCCCTTTCTCAGTCTCTTCCGCCTCCCCTACTTCCCGCGCTCCCAGCGTACACTTACTTAGGGTCAAACGCTCGTAAACGTCCGGCAAAACGCTCGACGCGAGTCCGCTCGGACGCGGGGGACCAACGTCCGTGAAAAGCACATGAATTTCCCGACGACCAATGGGACGGTCGCGCGGTGACCCCGGATTGTCAACCTTAAGGCCGTGGCCTCTCTCTTCCTCCGTCGCTTTTCACCGGGGATTTTCTACATCGCCCTCCTCGTGCTGCGCGCGCTAACGGCGTCGAGACTGGCCAAGCCCACAGGCCACAGGTGTAGTAAACCTCTTTACCTCACGCACTCGCGTGTAATGGCCCCTCTTACACTCGTGCCGAGCATCTGCCATCCTCGCCGTCCAGGGTGTACGCGATATTATTGCCAGGCGTTTACCTTCCGACCGAATTCACCAAAAAGGAACGGAGGAAACTTCTTCCTCGAGGACCACAGTGCTAATACTGTAAGAATAAAAATGACAAAGGTTTAAACTTCAGTATTCTTTCTCGAGGACTACTAAAACTTCCGTCCAAGATGCAGATCTCACCGAACGACGATAGATCCTGTTTTACGACACGTGCGATTCTACATTTCACGCCTACGTAATTCATACCGAGACGACTTACGATGTTTACTGTGCCCGAAGTTACACGCATACTCTAGCATATCAACGTTTCCAAACGCGTACCCGACTAATATCGATGTCGAAATTAAAATTGCCTTACTGGAGCCACGTTCAAGTTAGACGGTTCTTCGAAAACAAACAACGTGAGAAATAAATCTCTCCGAAAGAGATAAATCCCCACTTTACTCTTCTTTTGTCCCGCCGTTGCTTCATTTTTGCACGAACAGTGGTCTAGAAGCTGCAGAAACCGGAAGAGCCAGGAGGACTGCCTCCAATCCTTCTACCCCGATTTGCATCTCGCCGCGTATTATCGATTTCACGCCTCGTTTATTTAATTACCGGTTGCTACTTCGCGCTTAATTCATTATCGACGCCCTTTTGCATTCCCGTCGAGCAGGTACATCGCGATTTTTCACGTTGGAGCATCGAAGGATTGCGTCACCGTGTGGTATTCCAAAGAGTGGCAATAATCGACGCTGATAAATCGCGACACCTAGAACGATCCTCGTCGAAAACAACGGCGAACATTTGGCTGTACGATCGAGAAGACCTTGATTTCGACGATTCGCGAGTCTGTGGCCGTCTGTAAAAGGAGCCTCTGTAACCGCGAGACGTGTCACAGGTGTCTGATAATGACACTTGCTCGTTGTTTATTTTTGCAGATTTTTTGTCAGACGACGTCCTTGGATATTCAATACCCGCGTCTTCCAAAGACGCTCCTCGAATTCTCGATACGTTACATCCGTGAACCCAAAGGGTCGAAAACGATTCGGAATCCTTTAAATTTCTAAAATCATATTATTGTTGTCCTTTCTAAATTATTCCTGGCGACCGGTCCAGTATCGACGAAGATCAGGTAAACCGCTTCCAGGCAAAAAAAGCGTTGCTCAAACAATTACACAACTGGCTTCGACGAGCTCGATATCACCTTTGCTCGGCCGAAACCGCCCCCAAAAAAATGGTCTGTTTGGCGAGTTTACGTAATCCAGGAACTCCGTGCCTCGTGATGTGTGTTCACGCGTGTATGCACACGTCATCGCGCGTTGGTAGTACTTTTTCTCCGCGCCCGTAAAGCAGCCAGATCCTCGGAAACCTGAATCGTCGGGCCAAGAAACCACTAGAGCCCGTTCGACGGACATCGAGTGGCCCCTTCTTCTTCGTCCCACCTAAGTCAACAAGCGAGAAGTCGCCAGGCATTTTAACGTCCGGGGTTACGGGCACGAGTGCTCGTGAATACACGCAGGTGCACGCAGGTGAACGCTGCCGATTGTGTCGCTTCTCGTGAATTCTCTCTCTGAACGGTCCGAGGAAAGCCGCCGGAAACCGCGCGCTTGTGCGGTCATTGAAATCTCCCGAGAAGCGTTCGCTTTGGAAACGCATATATAAGAGACGATTTCGCTGTTCACGAAATTATTGGTCGCGAGTCCTGATTCTCGCGTGCAATAAGGATTAAAATCGTCCCTTTCGAAACGATCGAGGCTCAAAACCCTGGGAGCGTAAGAAGGTTTTAATGATTTTACAATTTTTGCTTGGTTCGTCCGTGTATGTCGCGACCTTGCGCCGAAGCACGCGCGCAAGAACGAGAATCGTAGGCAAGATTTATGCGGTGTGTATTACGCGGCAAGGGTTTATAGATCCGTAGAGGAGGAATGATAATAAATCAGAGGAAACGCGTTTCTATTGTTGGCGCGGCGAAAAATAAGAAAACGAGCGGCTTCTTGCGTCGTGCCATAAAATCCACGAAACGTTGGGAAAAAAGTGGCGTTCGCGATCGTTGGGGAAGTGGAATGGAGTCGCATTAGAAACGCGATACCCGGCTACGATCCTCGTCCGAAGATCGAGACCGGGAAGTCGTGCATCCAGTTCCTCGTCGGTGCACGTTCATAAATTATCGCAACTTATGATATATTATCCGAAGACCGTGAAATTCCCTCGATTCCAGGCCAACGTAATTAGCAATAAACGCGGCGAGCAGGGACGCGTCCCGAGCCACTTCCTCATCGCTGGACCTTCACGTCCGACGCGTCCTCTTAAATTCTTTTCCCCTTGGTCAAGTACCGGTGTCACGGTTAGGTCAAATGGTCCCCGGCTGCTTTAAAACCCGATATACACCGGGGTGTTTATTGCCGGACTTTTAAGAGAGTCCCCGGCCGTCTTCGACGTCGTCAGGAATCGCGTCGTTCTACCAGACGTCGCGTTAGAACGGAATTATCGGGAAAACGTGTTTTGCGTAGTACATCAAGACGGGAAAATTTATTACTAAATAAATAACTCGTGAGACACGATGATACCGCGTATGTGCGTACGTCGTTGAACGACGTACTCGGCGGTACGCGCCGACGATCCCGGAATGTGAAAGACGCGCGAGACGAAAGTAATCGAATACCATCTCGAGTTCGAGGTACGCGATTACGGACGCTCGCGTAAGGGAAACGATGATCGAGGTGAGATTTAATGAACGCCGATCAAGGCGCCACATATTGGCTATACAATATTCTTTATTTTACTTCGTATTTTTCGCCGAACGCTCGGTGTATTTGCACGCGTATCGGTCGATCGTGATCGCCTCTCTCTCGGTCGCGCTCCTTCTCCCCCCTCGCCGTTCTCTAACCGACCGTTTCGCGTAGAAAAACATTTTTAATACGAATTACAATTTTCTGCGAAAGCATCTCGCGGGAATAAAATATTTCGGGACTCTGGAATTTCTTGATTTCGCAAGCTTGAAAATGGTGATTGCTACACTGATTTCTTAACGATACGGTTTCTGAATTCGCGAACGATCTTTCCAAGGAATCGATGCATTAATTTTTTGTCTTCTCGTGGAGAAAAAAACACTCGACGCGAAATACGTTCGGAATTCGAAAGAAATTGGTGGAGAAAATAGAGTAATGAGTTTCCAGCGACGCGGAGAACGATGGCGCGTGCACACGAGCGACTGGATCGCGTTAAATAAAGAGTTGGACATAAATAAAACGAACAAAATCTCGTCGAAACACTGGCCATTCCCGAGCGTCGAGAGACATCGCTCTCGATCGCTCTGTTCGATCGCGGTTCTGCTTACGCGTTTCCACGATATACTCACCGCGTGCATGGACACGCACACACACACATACACACACACACACGAACATATCTATCTATGCATACGTGTTGCACGCGCGCAGGTTATTATTTAACGTTAAACTATCACGTGGTTTTTACTGGCACTCTCCTGCTCGGTGGAGAAGCTCAAAGGCACCGGTTAAGGCACAATCGTCCGTCGTACATCACGCTGCGAAAGGATGTATCGAGCTGATCTTCGGTCACTCCGTCGACGAGCACCTGGCGAACCCGTGCCGACCAAAGGGACCTCTGTATCGACTAATACCGAGGACTTGAGCAATTTTACGTCGATGCGATCGCCGATCGTAAAGTCATTTGTGCGAGGCTGCTCGCGGGGCACCGTGACGTCCGCTCTTCCGTCTGATCCATTCTTCTCCCTTATCTTCCCTCTCGAACCTTTCACCGTCCGTTGCTAAAAAATCTCCCGTTCGTCCTCTCGTATCGAAATGTCCCTAATTCTCGAAACGATCGGAATTCCTAGAGTCCCCGTTAAAGACTGTTCACGAACAGCGGTTTTAGAGTCGAGCCACTCTGGCCAGAGCGAGGCTCGTTCTTATCGAGAGCCGTCAACGCAGCCGCGGGGGTCATGTCTTTCTAGTGAGATCGAGAGGCGGCCCAGTGTCCTGCAGAAGCTCGTTGTCCTCGCTGTCCGTCGACCTTTCCTCTTCCGTGGTGGCGGCGTCTGCCTCCCGTCCGTCCGTTCGCCCGCTCTTCATGCTCAGGTCGATCGGCTCGTCCTGCTCGGGTCCCAACGACCGCAGGAACGCCAGGCTCTTGTCGTATGTGGCCTCCATTTGCGTCCTCTGGCAGCCGACGTTCCCATCCGCGCATCCATCGCGGGAATTTCTGTTCTCGTCGTCCCTCTTCGGCGACGGCGTCGATCTGGGACTGACGCTGTCGCTGGAGGAACTGGTCAGGCTGGCTACCATCTGCGACGCGCCTACCTGATTAACGTAAGGGACGATGAACCGCTGCTGGAACGGGAAAAACGGCGCGTTCAGCAGCTGCATGTGCGTCAGAGCCGGATGGAAGAACGGCGGACCCCGCCACATGGGGAACCTGGACACTTCCGGCCTGAGAAGCTCGTGGGGCGCCCTGACCAGGTCCACGGGCCTCAGAAGAGGATCTTGGCCGGCTCTGGCGGGCATGTCCGTCGCCCTGAGCTGCGGGGGAAGGTCCTGCGTCCTCAACACCACCGAGTCCTCCCGTTTAGGATACCTATCTTGCTGATGGTGGTGATGGTGGTGGTAACTGTTCGCGGTGGTGGTGGTCGTCGTGACCATCCCAACCACCGAGGCGCTCGTGGTGCCTGCGTTCTCGTTATTGTTATTGTTGTTGTTCGCCACGTCCAGGGAGCCGAACGCCTTCTCGTACGCGGACTTCGGGTCCTTGATGAGTCGCGTCTGCGCCTGTTGCGACTGTTCCTGGAGCAGGCAGTGGATTTTGAACCAGTTCGAGCGACGTCCGTAACGAGAGCCCGACTTCGACATACCCACGATCAGGCACTTCCGCAAACGGCACGCCTTGCACGCGGTGCGATTCTTCTTGTTGATCACGCACACGCCGCCGTTCTTGCACTCCGAGATGCTGCCCAGGTTGTTGTACGTGCGCCCGAAGAACGACTGCGGACCAGAAAACGCACGGAGGATGCCATTTTTCAAATCACACAACTTGCTCGCGTTACAGGGGTGGTTTTTACATGGTCGCACCGTTTGAAACTATATTTAGAAATTTATGTGCTTCGGTAAATGATAACAGCTTTCAAAGAGTCGATCGACAAAATGTAATTTACGTTTAGGATCTTTGACAATTCCAATGCAGGATAGATTGACAAAACATTCGATGAATAACGAATACTCAAAGAAAGTTAAGATACGTCACGTTCACCCTATTTGACAACACCAGATTGTTTTCTTCAGGGCTACTTGAAAGAAAAAGTCTATGACGATAAGCCAACAACAGCTTAAACGTTAAAAAATGTTTTGTTTCAACGTTATTCCGGAACAAAGTGGTGCTCTCGCGTAAAAAACCAGCCTGCGTTGGAAATGCGTTGAATTTGATTGATGCAACATCGACGATCTAGAAGGAGGAAAGGGCTTGGGCGGATACTGACCTTGCAACCTTCGCACGTGAAGGCCCCGAAGTGAAAACCCGCGGCCGGCTCTCCGCAGACCCTGCAGAGCTGATTCATCTGCAACAAAAAGATGCGACACGTGGTTACGCTTCGGCTGTGAAACTGGGGGCGCTTAGAATGCGCCGGTGATCATGCTGGAAGCACGCGCAATACGTGCCAATCATGAAAGAGTATTTCTCGCCCGGCCGCGGCGCCCGACGAAAAACAAGCAAAAAGATCGCTCAGACCAGACGGGACGAGAGAAAAATAGCGTTTCCCGCTGGTAACGCTATTTATTTCAGCGACGATCGCGAAACGTGCCCAATAACGATTAATCATCGGGTATTTAACCCCTATCCGAAGAGTTTTTCCGGGGCTCTCGCAATTAGATGGATTTTCACGTTCGTAATTTAACATTGCAACTCTGACTTTCCTCTCAAGTCGTAGCCATCTTCGTATTCCGACAAGTATTCGAAAACCGAGCTGGTGTAATTAATTCTACTTAACTATTTGTACACAATGTTCCGTAACTCTGTGTTTCTCTTAATGGGGGAGATTAACAAGTCAATTTCATGCAAATTTCTCGACTGGTCGTGTAAATTATTCGAAGGAGCTTCGTTTGAGTAGGATTGTGGTTTGTGCACACATTTCGGTCTAACAGACAGTTCTAGAACGGTTTTTTAGCGGATGGATGGATCATGTATGTCCCGCTAGAGGCTCCAAAAGTCACCTTAAGAGCTGATCGACAAAGGCTATCCAAAGAGCCTCCAGTTTAGCCACGATTTACAAATTATCTAACTCTTTTACATCTAGAGATTTTGTATTGATTCGAAAAATTCTAAAAAACAATCGTTGATAGAATTCTACCATCGATTCAAATTCTAAATCATTAGCCGTGGCACGTACATACTTCACGCTCGTTCGTTAAATGTTTGGTGACTTATGGACGTATCTTCGAGACCACCAACGGCTTTCGAAAAGCCTGAAAATATCAGAAAACGGATGTCCCGTTTCACCGAGTGCGGGGGAATCTGGGTGAGAGGACGACGCGTTGTGGGAACGTTCGCAAAAGCTCTGTCCGTGTAAAGGTAAAAAAAGGTTAAACGTCCAACAGATGACGCGGCTGTGTCACCTCGGTTCTAATCCCATGCTCTCGGGCCTGAGCACTCCAACGGAACCGCATAACGTTCCTCGAGAACTCGATGGGCTCTCTCGCGTCGGCGTTCCTTCTCCCGTCGCCGGTTAGGCTATCGCGTTCTCTCGATTCCACCTCTCCCGACACCCGCGATTCCGACCCTCTCGGGGCCGCTTAATCGCACACCCGCATCCGCGGAGACGTCTCATTAAGTAACGCGCGAAGGTAATGCCGATGACGAATGGCACTCGACGGAGAAACGAAAGTAGCGTGCCAACCGCGGGGATCTTTTTCCTCGCGTTACACGGCCGATGATTCGCCTCCGCGGCGTTCAACCAGGGGTTACCACGTGCCATCGATTTTTCCTACGTCGAGGATCCTCGCGCGAAATGTGAAAACATCCAGCTTCTTACATTTTCTCGATTCGCTACGCGCGCACCAGAAGACAATTAATAGATTCGATCCGTGAAAGCTGACCCTCTCCGGGTGTAGAAACTAAACTGTCGCGAACTCGGTATATTCATCGAAATTCCACGCGAATCCTCGATGGAGAATATTTACGATTCCTGTGGCTTCGAATGTAGAGTCTGAAATCTGAAATTGACACGTTCCATGGATCTGGCGTTAACCCCTCGAGGTACGATTTAATTAATTTTTAAACGTCAGACTTCAACGCGAACGTAGCCTCGTTACTGTGAGAATTGGCACAGTATAGATTTGTATAAAATAGGCCTATAGGTTTCATTTCTCTCAATGTGGCCACGGTCTAAAATTTCTAACAGGTAGTCGCTTCATTAAAAATTATTGTGACTTCGTGGGTCGTAGGTCACCATAATGTAGAAGCAAAGCAAAATTTAAGAAAGAATCGTTCAAGCGTTAAATGGTACCGGAATGGCGGACGATCGACGAGGATCGATCCCGTCTGGAAGATTCGAGGACACGAACCAGGTGTAGGAAAAAAAATACTCTTGAAAAGGACTCACCACGTCGGTGTTGGCCGCTGCCGAGGCGATCGTCGACGTAGGCGTCCACCACCCTGCGGTGGCGGATGTCGTACTTGTAATGATACCAACACCCGTTGCTCCAGGGATGGATCCGCTCCCAGCCAATCCTGCCGAGCTCGACAAATCGCCCACGTCCATTCGATGTTCTTTAATCTCTGGATGTAAACCGTTCGCGCCGGTCCTTCGAGCCGTCTGTTCCGTGTTTGATGTCGCGGGCCGACATTTTCGCGCGTGTCCTACAACCGCCCCCGCCGTTGGAAATTTCGACCGGCGCTACGGATTCTTACGATCACGTCCTCGAGGTTCTCTCCGAACTGTAATCACGGAACAGTGTTTCGAATATTTCCAACGATCGATGGCCCACTGCTTCTGGCGGATCTCGAGAAGAAAGATTCGTCGGATCAAAACCGTATAATATTCTGCAAGACTAAAATTTCGAGTTCAGACCTACAATTATTTTTGCAACTACTTTATTTTGTACTAACTCTTTGGTAGCTTTAGATTTCTAGTAAGCATCGATCTGATTGTTTACAAACCCGACGTAAAGGGTTGCAAATTATTTTCGCATTCGTGAAGCACATAAACCTGTACATATGGTTTCAAATGTTAAAGAAACTAAAGAAAGCTATTCTGTTTGAAAATTGAATTCGGTTAGCGCAGAAATCAGAGCGGATATTGGTGCGGAGTCGCAGCTACCGTCGCCCCCGAAAAACTCCGGAGCGCAGCCGCCATTTCTTGCGCGAATCTCGTCGGGGTCGGTCGAGATAACATGTCGTGTTTACAGCGGTGTAACGCCATTACCATGTTAACGGAGCCCGCCTCGCATGAGGCGCATAAATACGAGCGCTAATTACAGCGCCGACCACGTATTAATTTCATCCGCGCGCGGGAACCGAACCCCGTGCACGCCTGGTGAACCCTCGACGCGTGTAAACGTGCCCGCTTCCGATTAACGAGATTTCATTTCCGATTCGATAAAAAAGGATCAACAGTCGCCGTTGCTTCCTGCGGCTCGCGTCGCTTTTGCAAACAATCGCAACTCGATGCCACTTTCCGCTAAAAGATTTCGCCTCTGAGAGTTTTACGCTACGATCTTGGCATTATTTCAGAGCTAATTATTATCTTTTAAAACAGAAAACCTTGAAACTTTGATATCCACCGGAGAATAACACGAGAATCTATCGAAAGCTGGGATATTATTCGGGAGACTTCGATGCTTGGTGTGCAGCATCGTCCGAGTTTCACGCGAATTGGCAACGGAATATGTAAAGGCTATTCGAGTGATTTGAACGCGTGGGAGGCGGGGACTCCGTACCCAAAGGGCGTTAAAACTATTCGATAAAAAGGAATGAGCTTTGTAAGCTCGAGCAGCGCGTATCGCGAGAGAATATGCCATTGAAACGTTATGGAATTTCAGTAATGATCCGGCAAACGCGTGAGAGGATTAATGTCTAGGTGGTTGTGGTCTATGGGAGTCTGTCGAGGAAGCTCAAAGAAAATTCGAATGATGCATGAACCGGGAAGCGGTTTTCATCTTTTTCTTGTTAGATTCGACTTGTTTGGTTGTCTGAAAGATATCGATTCGATTGAAAGATGAACGACAAGCGAGAAATACGACGGGTATCCCGACGCCGTGACGTCTGGTAAATTTTATCGCGGGACGTCTTCCTTAAATAATGACAAATTAATTAAGAGTCGTATACCCGCAAGAGAGACCGGTTCGGTTGAATGTGTACTCGCCTCGCAGCCGAGTCCTATAAATCCCTGTTTCTGCGGGCTAACGTTCTCGTTTAATGTGGGAAATATAACGCGGTGAAATGAATTTCCATAATGGAGTGCGGTCCGCGGAGAGAGACCCGCGAGAAGATTGCAACGTCGTTTCGGTTTAACGGCGGAAGAATTAAAACTTTTAAGATCGGCAAATGGGACGTAATTAACTCGACGTTAAAATGTGTGTTTCTCCAACGATAAGCAATCTAGTAGTTAAATTGTTCGGGTAAATTCACCGAGGCTGATTCACGATTACCCGCTGACAGAGTCGATCGCCGTCGAGATATATATTTTCGTCGTGAATTCTGAAATTTCCATTAGCCGTCCGATGTCCGTCGTGTTCTCCAAACACGGAGGAAGAGTTTCTAAATTTAGGGGCAATTGTGTGGTATTAATATTCATTACAAGCGCCGTTGCGTAATCCTGACCGTGGTTAGAGACTTTTCGCGCCTGAATCGTACGGCTTTTAATCGGCAGGCCCCATTACTCGTATCAAGATTGAGTCGTAAAGAGCGTCCCTGAAAGTTTGACTGGATAAGCGATTCAAGCAGGAAATTAAGTGGACAAAATTCTTTTCCAGCTCATTTTCTAAATCCAGCGATTAATATTCACACGCGTCGATATTTTCAAAGCCACGGAGAAGAACAGAGGCTCTGTGCATCGTTACCGCGACAGGCTGGATTAGCGGCACACACAACGCATTCGAGAAACACCGCGAATTATTTCACATTCGGGGCAGAACGTACGAATTTTTGCTATTTTCTAACTGCTAGAAGAAAACGCAGAGTCTCGTTTCTCCATCGAACAATGATTTTTTTTCTACTTTCCCGTACCGTCGCGGATCATTAATATCCTAATTGTCGACTTTTCCACCCCGGCTCCGAGAGTCCTCCGCGACAATAATAATGATTGAAAGGTGAAACACTCGCGTCAAAAGTATCGCCCGTGTATCGTTATTTCTTTCTTTTTCTTTCCCCCCTCCCCTGGTTCGTTACCCCTACCCACCGGGTGGCGTGCTTCTCTCTTTTCGAGCAGCTCTTTTTTTCTATCGCAAACATTCACGATCGCTGCCAACCCGTGGCAGCCAATGAGTGACGAGCGGCTGCAGCTTTAATGAACCGGTTGTGAGCGGCACGTCACACGGATATCATGGCACCGACTGCAGACAGTTGAAATTGTTGTGCCCGGACGTCGTGACAAATTAATCGTCGGCGGACCGTACGAGGAGCGACAGAGACGCCCGAATTGCTATTTCGCGCGATTAGCCAGCGGCTAGTCGGCTCGTTACAATCCACCGAGGCGGTTTCGACGATTCCCCATTCGCCACGAACGTTCCCTAAACGATCCGCTACGTTCTGCTCTAAACTGACCGTCTCCTTAACGAACTACTAAAGACTAAGGAACCAACACTTTTTCCTCCCCCTGTAGACATACGATAACGATTCCTAGTTTTCGTTTACCCCAAACTCGCACTGAATACACTCCTTCGCACCACGAAGGGAAGCTGTCCACGCACAACGCGCGATTCTTTCTTTCCGATTCCAACCGGCGGACCATGTACACCTACCATCAGCCGGGTACTCTGTGTCTCGGTCAAGTATCCTGGTTCGAGTCGCGTCGCACAGATGTTTCAGAGCACGCTGGTCTCCGTTCGCGCACCATCCTCGACAGCGGGCAACGTTCCCATCCCCCCGCCGTCGAGACGAAACCGTGAAAGCGATCCACCCGCGTCACAGAATCCAGCCGCACGTCCGGTGCGTACCACTGGTCGATCGCGAATTTCGAACGGGAACACGCGCGTCCCCCGCGAGACGCGCTCGAGCGGCGTCCACGGAATCCGCGCGTGGCGAGGACGCCCGGAAACGGAGGAGGCGAGCGCCGATAAAAGGGTAGAAAAAAAAAAAACTAAAAAGAGGACCGTAAGAGGAACGCGACTCGGTGCACGAAAGAAGAATGGAAGGGAGAAGGAGGACCCAGGGAAGCGTGGGACAAAACGGGACGACGAAGAAGAGGACGGAGACGTGGCTGGACCACCGGCCGGCTCGGGGCGTGCGCTCGTGTAGCACGTGGCCGCGAGACTGAATATCCCCTACCTCGGCCACCTTCGTCAGTCCGTTTGTCCGCCTCGTCCTTATCTTACCTGCTCGACCGAGAAGGACTACCGCGGCCTTCTCTCGTTCTCACTCCTCTCCCCCACCCCCGATATCCCCCCTTCTAGCATCGTACGCTTCTTCTTCCACTTCCTCTGGATCCTCTTCTGCTGCTTCTTCGATGATTCTGCTTCTTCTTCTTCTTCTTCTTCTTCTTCGTCGTCGTCGTCGTCGTCGTTCTTCCTCCTCCGCCGCCTCCCGTGTTCGCCTCTTAGGTTCTGTTTCTTCCGATCTTGTCGATCTCTCTCCGCGCAGCATCCATCTCCGGGGCCCCGCGAGTCTTCGTCTCCCTTTCCGTGTGCACGCCGCGGTCTCGCGAGCGATTCGACGATCTCCGTTTCGCTCGATACCGACAACCTGTTCACCATGGATCGCGCCTCCCGCGACACAGCGCGCCTACGTGATCCCCTCGGTGGGTGGATCGCGATCTGAAAACCGGAAACAGTTAAATTAACACTGTGCGCTTGAAACTTTCCCAACGGGAGCGACGGATCTTTCCATCGAAGGAAAATGAAGACAGTTTCGGCGAAAGTTCTCTTCTGTCAATTTTACGTATTTAATTATTTCCTGCCAAGAGGAATTAGGAACGAATGGAGGCAGTTGGTTGTCGTCCGGGCAAGAGTGATACTTTTGACGCGAGTGTTTCGCCTTTCAATCATTATTATTGCGAACGCCGCTGCCGCGGAGGATAATCGAGATGAAAGAGTTGATGGACAATTAGGATATTAATGATGCGTGAACGGGGTCTGGGAACGTCGAAAAAAAAACCTGTACACGAGCGAAAGCACCGACTCACGATTTTGAAACGACCGTCTCTCGATGGTTGTTTTTGGATGAAAATACGACTCTAGTAGCTTCTTCCGCGAGGAACAATTATTGTATTATCTGTACCATCCAATGAAAATTCGTCATAATCGATCTTAAGCTAATGCCTAGGCCAAGACCTAGGATATATAATCCTCCGTAATCGAATGCTTTTTCGTGTGTTTCGAGAACAGCGTTTCTTTCCTTTCCTTTTCGCGGCGAGTCGAGCCCGACCTTTGCGGACACTAATTTATGCCGAATATATTTCACCGGGCTGAAAAACGCCGTTCAATTTATCCGCGGACTACGGAATCACGGGATGACAAATTTCTCCAATGAAATTCTTCGCGCGTACACGCGTCATTTATACCGAATTGATTGCGCGGCTCCTCCGGTGCGGGGATCACGAAATCC